CTTTTTTGGGGTAAGTAGTGTTTGGTTGAGAGGGAGAGTGAGGGAGCGAGAGATTATTAGTTAGATGGCGCCCAAATTCATTCTATCCTATAGCAGATGGATCTGAGATGTGCTTTGTTTTAGAGTAATTAAGGACTTGAGTTTAATCAATCCTGGTTTCTTTAATGTAATTTATGAGTAAGAAGTTAGAACCAAAAATGGTTGGTTAGATGCGGTGGCAACGTGCAACAGGTTGGGATTAATGGAACGGTTTGGTAGCACTTAAAAGAGTGAGTCACAATATACCTAATTCACGCATTTTTGCGTTCATTCATGCATTCTTTAATGTAACGCCACAAAAGCATAAGAGAATCCTGTGACCAGTTGAGATCTCGTGACCCCAGCCCGTAACCAGGAACAGTGGACAGAGAGACGAATAGAGGTAAAAATCGGTACGGTATCGGTATTCCAATACCAAATACTGAAATCCCGAATACCAAATTACACACTAAAATCAATCCCAATCTTATTCCCAATCCCTAAATAATTTCGGTATCCCAATCGGTACTTCAATATCCCAATTGGCATTATCGAATATGAAATTAATTACCTTTGCAGTTAATAATTAAATATATAAAATAGATTTTATTGTCTAATTTAGGGCAAAGAGACTAAGCAAAGAGTCTTGAATTTGTCTAGAGCTAGGATATGGATAAGGAGAATGGAGGAGATGTGACATCTAAAGTTCTTGTCATTGGTAATCTTTAATTTGACGAATTGGAGGTTGAGAAACGACTAATACTAGTGTTTTCATTTTGGTGTTATGAAAATTACAAGAGATTAGGTGAGAAACAAGAGTGACTTAAATTGGAAAGTCAAATTTGAGTTGCATGGCGACTTCTCAGTAGTGGAATAGTGGTGGAATGATCTATGCATAATTAAATGACACTCTTGGTAGTTGAGGGTCGTGTAGTAGTGAATGAGAGAGTCTATTTGAGAGGATAAAATACAAGCTAGTTTATATTTCGGTATAAATCGGTATTTCGGTATATACAGATCTCAATTTCGTAATCTCTAATACCGATTAACAATTGAAATTCAATCTCAATCCCAATCTCAATCCCAAAAAATAATACGTGTATTCGGTAATACCAAATATAGACAAATTCGGTACAGTAATACCGATACCGAACTTCCAGCCCTAGAGACGAGTTTGACATTGGTCGGCTGTTATTGGCTTTTGCCGACAGCGGAATTGGATAGGAAATGAGGGAGGAAGAAATGAAAAATAAGAGTTGGGATGACTAAAATTGTAATTTTGATTGTCTTTAAAATCTATTGTTTGTTCTATGGGTGTTAAGCGGTTACTCGGGCAACCGCAAAATCGCATCGTCAATCTGGGTTTCTCGGTTGTACAGATTGGCCACTGCGGGTAACCGAACACGTATAAGTGAATAACCTCTCACCGAACGGTGCACCACAAAACCGCACCGCATCTCATAAACTAGTGGACGAAATCATCCTTACCTCTTACTTGTTGATTTTTAGCCAGCCGCCCAACTCTATCATCTTCATCCTCGAGTCCTCCCAAGCCCTATTTGTAACCTAAACCTAATTAACCCCCAAATCCATTCACTGAAAAAGAAGAAGAACAACAAAGAGAAGGTGAACCCTAACCCTTGGTTGTCAACATCGGATCATTCTCCGTCGTTGTCGCCTTGTCCTCCCGCCTTCGATCGTTGTTGAATAGAAGACTCATCACTAGTCAGTGGCCAGCCTCCCTCGATCGTACGTCGGCTCGCCGAAACCAGCTGATCTTGAGCCTCTCTCTAAAGGTTGAAGCTACCAGCTGCCGGCTGTCAGGACTCTATGAGGCTTGTTTTCGGTCGAAGGCTACTCGAAAAACCGCATCGCTTCTGATTGTTCTCGATCTCGGTTTAATCGATTACTTCTCGGTGTCGGCTAGGTGTGCGGTTTGGGGTCCTTAGCGGTGACGGTTAACCGCGTCTCGGTTACGATCCGTTTAACACCTCCCAAACAAGTTATTTGGATCAAATCCGACAATCAAAATTCATGAGTTTTATTTGAAAAATTTTAAAGTCAAATCTCTCATTTTTCACATTTCTTCATCCAAGTAACTCCTATGAAAAAATATGTCGAACACAAACAACCCAAAACAAAAATTTGAAAAAAATAATCTAAAGCTGCAAAGTTCACCCAGGAAAAAAATTACAAGGAAGAAAAGATTAATGAGAAAAAAGTATAGAAGAACATATTAACCTAAGATTCTATTCCAAAAAGAATTCTCCAAAAGATCTTCGAATTCCTCCCACCTTATTAATTAATGTGAAACAAATAAGGGATAATGTTTGTAGCTATGCGGGGGAACAAAACAATATACAATTTCAGGGATTATGTTTGTTTCGCCATCCGGCGTCCGTGCTTACGAATCTTGTTGCCGAAATTAGGGAGGAGGAAATCCGAAAGAATTTTGACTTTGACTCATTCCCTAAACCGAAGCACACTCCATCAGAAAATTGTTAAAAAGAAAGAAAGAAAGAAAGAGAACCGTCGTTTCTTCTTCCATCGTGGCCGGTTGTGGGCCGGGGAGAGGAGGCCGGAGTATTTCTTTTGCTTGCGTCCTATGATATTATGTCTATTGCAATACGCCAAACGTCTAATCTACTCGTCGATTCTCTCATAAAAAATGAAATAAAATAATGTCTAATCATCGGTGCGTAACATATATGATTGATATGAACAAAAAAAAAAAAAAAATTCATGCATAGATAATATGTAAGAAGATTAAGTGTGTTTACTAGCTGAGTATATCTCAATATAAAGTCACGTACATTCAGAATTCAGATACGATTTCCAACACAATTTTTTTTATTACTTAAAAGGATAAACACAATACAATAATCAGTAGCTAGTGAAAGATCAATCCATAAGATTATTGGTACATACTAAAATGATCAATGTGATTGGTTAAAGTAAAATAGTTGGTAGGCAAATATTGGAGACTTGACACATTGAATATAGTTTTATAGTATTATTAAAGAGTAGTGATGGCAATTTCAACCCGCCCCGCGGGTATTACTTGACCTGACCCGCGATGGGGCGGGTATTACCCGATCCGCAGTAGCGTGGGCCGGGGCATTGGTATCTACTTCCGGCCCTCCCTGCCCCATTCTAGACTCATTTTATCTCAATTTCTTACAATTTCTATACATATTTCTCCTATTTTGACTTTTCTTCAACTAGTTAGAGTCGCTCTTTCAACTTGTTAGACTCAATTACCCATTCTATTATCACTATTTTTCATTCCTAAATTGTTTTACCCTTCGTTTTATCGTAAAAAGTAAAATTTACTTGTATTTTTTTCGAACAATATGTAAGAGTGGGTCGACCCGCCCCGCCCCGTACCCGCGCGGGTTTTACCTGCCCGCCCCATAGTAGCGTGGGGCGGGACATGAGAATTGAGGTACCCGCTCCATTGCCATCACTATTAAAGAGCTTATTAAGTATGAAGGCAACGTCTAGAGGTCTAGGGTTCGAATTTCGAAACCAATGTCCTACAAGAAAAGTAGAGATGGTTCACATCCTAATCCTTGGCCTTGGTTCTTGCCGTATCTAGCTAATTAATTAACAAATGTTGTCATTTTCGCGCACCTCATGGGGATTAAAAGTCACAAATCATAGGGTTAAGAAGATAACTATTTTCCTAAAGTAGGATCAAAGTCTTGATTAGGAACCATACCTACTAATTAATGACAGCCAAAGTATAGAGACTTCAGCTCATGGTGACGTTGCGTCAGTAGGTTAGTTAACTAACACGGTGGTCAGTTCATACATAGAGTAAACACACACGTAATCAAAGGTGATTAACGATAATGACAATTCAGCGAAGAAGATTCTTCTTTGTTTTTTTCGTGGAAAAAAGCTGTAACATGAAAGATCGTTGATTATAATGAGGGTGCCAACTAATTAATTGTAGTGTGCCTGACAATCAATTAATCAGCCTTGGAATGATAGAATTAACGCCATGATAATATAATTCAAACATGTCTGCCCATGCATTATCATTAGTTTACATCCTCATTATATACACAATTGATAATAGAAATCTTATTGTAGATATGGTGTGCTGAAGCTTCTTGCTTCACCAAAATGATTATAATAATGATTATGAGTTTATGACAGACATTACTCAACTTGTAATCCAAGGCACCCGGGTCATTTCGTGGACGCAATGCATCATTTGCTAACAACAAAACACCCTTTACGCTCCGTTTAGTATATTTTTTTTGTTTGTTGTTGTTGCGGTAGAGTTTTAACAACAAAAGTTAAACCATAACAACATGAAAACATAATTTAATTGGTAATTCTGAACGATTATGGAAGTTGACAACTAGAAACACGTTTAGTTATTTTTTAGGACCTGTTTGGTATCAATGTTGATGTTAAGACAAAAGTATAGAAATAAATATGATATGACAAGTTATGAGAATATCAAAAGAGAATATATATGAAAATATTATTGACAATGAGGTTTCGACAACAACAAACGAAAACAAAAACTAAACATGTTCTCCCTTTCTGACGGTCTCTCTTTTCACCCAAGGGCAGGGGAAAACACAAAATTTTAGGTGTTGTTTTTTTTTTTTTTTTAAATGAGTATTACTTCGTACTAAAGCGACACGAAATGGGTTTCAGCAAATAGGATTACAACAATAACAGAAAAAAAAAAATACATTGTTGCTTTCTCCCATAAACGTAAGAACCCTAGCTAGAAAGTTAATCCAGTAGATGAAGCTAGAGTCTAGTTAGCTAGATGATGACTAACATTCTTCCTGATGAATTTCTAAAACGATGGAGTTCTCTACTCTTAACCGAACCCTCTGTTGTTTGCATCCACTAATAGCACTAAAGGAAAAGATTCCCTCTCTCCCTAATGCATCACACCATGAATATCCAGTAACAGAAGCTATACCAGCTAGCTTGCACTACTGCTGCTGATATATATATATTTTTTTTTCTTTGCTTTCCCTGTTGTAGCAAATCTAGTAAACTGTAGAAGCCAATATATCTTCAAGAAAGAATCCTATTCTGCTTGCATATAAACATATTCATTCGTCTCTGTCACATTAAAAAAACATTCCCAAACTTCAAAAAATGCAATGATGAAGGTATTTGTTTATACATGTGTATAACAATGAAAGCCCCATGCAATTATTCTCTTCTTTGCTGATAATCCCTCGCTATTATACATATTAGGTCACATCCATGCACGTCAATTCAATTGCCTAAAAACTGTAATTTCTGCAGATAAGTAGTTTTGAGATGGACAACCCATCCACATTCCTCTTTTGGGTATTGTATGCCATCTCCCTTTCTACGGTTTCCCACACAACGTAGAGAGCTTTTCAAGAACCACACACAATGGAATAAACACAAACTTCAAACAAGTCTTTTTGTTCATTTACATGAAATTGATAATAAATAAAAAAAACATAAGCAACTAAGAAGATTTGGAATTAGGAGAGAACAATATCAAGAAGTTCAAGAAAGAAAGAAAAACACTTTGTTTACAACTTATACATCTAATCGAACTAACATCTTACTAGTTCGGAGTAATAATCAGATATACGAGATCGTTTCACTCAAACAAAACTCCAAACATGAAAAGCAAGCAAGTCATGTTACACTTTGCATCTATACCAAACTATATAGAAACACATGCATTTAATTTATGCAATGAAATCTGGTTTGGTTTTTCAGGATTGGAGTGCCGACTTGTTCTTCTTTTCTCATGTGTTAATATGGAAATAAAGCTGCCGCCATGTCTCTTTATTAATTCCACATCTTCATTCTACGAAGATCAATACGAGCTTTTTTCATTGTTTTCCAATATTGTTTTCCAATATTATTATTTATTATGCTGGGTGGGGGGGAAATTCTTTGGTTAGCCGAACACGGAACCTGCAATTTCTCTCCCGCCCCATTTAAGTCCGGCAAGGCAACCCGATAATCGGGGAAAAAAGCAGGCATCGAGTTCAGCACCCAACCAGAAAGCACATTTCAGAAACCCGGCCACAAAGGAAATTCCCTTCCCCCCCCAATAAATCAAACCCACAAATCCAAATTAATGATGGGTTGAACCAAAATCCGAAACAATGAACCTATATACAGCCTAGCACGTATCCACATGGCCATACAAAAACGAAGATTATGGGCTGCAATTAACGATAAGATTTTCTACCCAAATCCAACAATGATTTAGTAGCAGCAAGGAATCTCAACGCTAACCTAGCTATTATATATTAAGTATCATCATCTCTAGCTTCTTTCTTCTCCCTCTTTAGGTAACATCAGCCTAATATTCTTAATACCCTTTCAGTAACCCAATAGATATATTGCCGCGAGCGACATTTTTATCAGGACACAAAAGTTCCTACACTATTGCGATCAGAATACCCAACAAGCTCATCGAATGAGACTCAGGACCAAGAAATAGAAGAAATTCTTGGAAATCTTATAATATCCATTCGTTCTTTTTTTTTCTTTGGTAGATTATCAGAACTTCATCTAGGTTCGAATCCGTAAGCCGAGGCATTTCAAATTGCTTGTTGACACGGACAAAGTCAAGAAAAACCTCTGAAATCTTTCCAGTATTGGACCTTAGACATATAATTAGCATAGTTTCGAATCGAATCTCTGACTGAATTAAGATTCAGTAGAAGTGGTATTTCAGTGTTTCGTTAAGAATTGCACCAATGCAAATTCAGATTAATACACTAAGCACGTACTTGGGCTAGCTATCTAGCTAAGCTAAAAGAGTTGATTTTAAACAAGAGAAAGAAAGAAAAACCTGCCTGCGCTGAACAATTAGGCGCCCGCCTTGCTACAAATTTGAGTTTAATCTTTTTTTTCTCTACCTTGGGGGTGGGAAGAATTGCGTACCGGCTATAAACGCATTGAGAGGAGCCGGATATAGAGAAGCCGGGTCAATCATCGACCCGGAAGCCGCAGGGTTCCCTCCTTGATCACCCCCACAACCGCTCGCCGCCCCCGCCGCACCTCCGCTTGTCCCCGCCGTTATCAGATGCAATGGCTGCCCTCCTCCTCCGCCGCCCGAGGAGCTCTCTCCACCGTAACGAGATTGATGATGGTGATGTTGATCAGGGCCTTGATCGTAGAGAATTCCCTTGAACACGTGTCCCCCTATGTTCACAGCCGTCTGATACGCCGTCTGTTCTTCCGCGTCGTCGATCGAGCTCACCTTCACGCACCGGAACACGGCCGACGAGTTCACCTCGCTCGGGAAATGCCCTCCCACTTCCAACCCTAAACCATAAACCCAAAATTTCATGTCAAAACTTTTTCTCATAATTTTCTTTTTTCTGTCTATATTACTCGTCACTCTTACTAACAAACAGTATACAGACCATTCAGTTATGTTTAGTCAACTCATCCGTCACTCAATTAGTCAACCTCTTTACAACCAGAAACAAATTTTCGGACTGCGATGGGGAAATCTTTACTATGACATTTACCTGAACCGGTGGCAGCAGCAGATGCGGTCGCTAAGCGCGACGAGCTGCTGCCGACTACTCCATGGTGGCTGCTCTCTCGGAGCCTTTTCGTGACCTCGCCGCGGAACGGAACCTGCAATGGCTGAGCAGGATCCTGCTGCTGCAGCGCGGCCGCGAGCTGCTGCTGGCGCTCGCGGCGCTTGGCAGCAGGGACCCACGTCGATTTGACGTGGGTGGAGCACTGGAACCCTCGGCTCTTGCAGCAGGTTCGGCACCTCATGTGCGTGCAATCTTTTTTAGCTTGGTTGCCGCAATCCTGACAGTTGATCCCGGCCGATCCACCACTTCCTCCTCCGGACCTCATCATGATCCCTCCTCCGCCTCCGCCTGATCTCGAAGAATCATCAGAGCTCCGGCTCGTCCCGGCCGGTCCGAACGACGCCGCTGCGTAGATGTTGGCCTGATTCTGCTGCTGCTGTTGCTGGTAGTACTGCGGCCATATCTCGAACCCGAACCCTCTGTGTCCTCCCCCACCGCCTGCCGTGGTTGCGTTTGCGCCGCTGTTGTTGTTGTTGTTGTGGATCTCTTCGTCTCGAAACAGAAACAAGCTGTTGTCCTCCCTATCCTCCTCTCTCTTACTACTTGCCGCTGCCGCTGCCGCCGCCGCTGCTGATGAAATAGTTGCGTCTCTTCCGCTCAGATAGAACCACCCAGCCATTTCTTGCCTAAATCCAACCCCAATTTTCTCCCCAAATCCATAGCAGAAAGAAACGGCGCCGTTTCGGGGACGGAATTCAGCTCGTTTTCCCTCTCTAAACTAGCTCAATTTCGGCAGCCTAACATCCTAATCTCTCCCCTTCCCCGGAAAAAAGAGAAAACCTAACTCAGCTGGCTCTACTCAACCTCAAGAATTTCAGGTTGGTAGGGCAGATAGAGAGAAGCAGGGAAAGAGAGAGAGTTGCAGAACTAACAGTTGAAGTAGTAGTAGATAGAAAGGAAGGAAGGAAGGAAGAGAAGAGAAAAGAAGAAGAAGAAGAAAGGAGAAATTGAATTTTGTTTGTTTTTTGTATTTCGGAGTGTGTGTGTGTGTGTGAATTGTGGTAGCAGGCGGCAATAATGGCACGGAATTAGAGCTCTGCAAACGCCGCCATGGAAACTGCAACTCTTTCCTGCTTCCCGCGCGGCTCTACTGCTGCTGCTGCTTCCTCATGCTGTCGATCTGCATTTAATAAATGGCCACCACCAAACCTACTTTTCTCATCAATTCTTTTCTTTCTTTCGTCTCCTCTCCCCGAGACAGAGAGAGCGAAAGCCAGAGAGAGAGAAGAGCAAAGGAGAAATAAGGAATGAAAGAGAAAAGGAGAGGAGAGGAGGAAGACAAGGAAATCTATCTCTGGGCACTTCTCTACAGTTTTCTTCCAGTCTCGATGCATTTTCCTTTCTCTCTCCCCTTCTCATTTATCGAACGGCGATGGGGCGTGATCGGACGGTGGGACGGGCGTACACGTGGCGAGGCGCCAGCTTTTCCTTATTCGTCCTTTGCACCGGAAAACCCGCTCAGTACTTTTCTGACCCCTCTCCTTTACTGTAATTTAAGATTGCTTCGCTCTAGGAAATTGGAAGAAAATTGTTTTTTTTAATTATTAGTTAATCATAAATGCAACGCGTGATTTGGATCGGACGGCTGAGAGGATGTCTGTGATGTAACGCGAGGAGACCGCTGCTTGGGAGATGATTTTCCGTAATTAAGAGATATATTTAGAATTGGGGAAATTCTTTGGGCAATCATTTTTTGGATTGACTGAATGTGAGAAAGAGTGGCCACAGAAATAATGTAATTTTATATAAATTTTTTTACAACTTGCTTGGCTGCATGGATTTTATTAATTTTATAAATTACGAATGGAATAATAAATTAAATAATTCGAGGGAAGTTCACTGCTAACAAGTCAACACGTTTTTTTGTTTTTAAGGTATTGTGTCGAGAGAAAAACGAGCCCCCCCCCCCCCCCCCCCGCCGTTTCCAGTAATAGAAATTGCGGTGGTTTAATTATTTTTTCATTATTATTAATTATTTTTCAGCCGTAAGCCTTGGGCTGGTGAGCACGGAATCAACTAATCAAATTTAGTGTGTGATTACACTCTAAACACGTACATTAGCAGGCTTGTTCGCAAATCACCACCTTTCTTAAATCAATTAATCAAACTTTTCAACAAGTTGCCTTGGTGCATTATTACGATGAGAGGGATAGTTTGTGGTACATAGTGTATTATTCAACATCTTAGTACAAGTCTTAACCCGCCTACCGATATTCAATAGCACAATCGACTAATTATAGACGACATTACGTGAGGAATCATATCATCTTCATATATCAATATTGAGTGCTCAATGACCGGATTATAAGGTCAATTATGTACTTGCTACGTGCGATTTTTGAAGAGGTACATAAATTCATTTATCTGTGTTAATGGTATCCCAAACAGGATGATAAGACTATAATTAAATATTTAATATGTTTTTGTTGTTCCTAATGTTTTCTATTCGTATGTCTTTGTCGATACTAGCTTATGGAACATATTCTAATTATTCTAGACTTTAGGGTTCACAAGTTTGTTGTGTGTCCTTACTCGATTTTTATTCTTCAATATACGGATTCAATACACTGTCTTGTACATAAAATCAAACCATTTTACTATAATACATGGTCACGCAAAAATATCATATAAACATAGTTGAGTCAAATAATTTGGCTCAGTAGCCATATTTTCCCTCAAGCTTATACTTTTTTTTCAATTCTAATTTAATTGCTTGATGATATCATCACTATTAATATTATCCAAGTACATTAAAAGATTAAGGCGAAGAGCAACAAAAAAAAAAAAAAAAAAAAAGAGAACAGTGGCATTCCCTCTTCTTTTTCATATGATAGATCATTACGGACCCTACTACCTCACATGAACAAAACGAAAAATGCGGATGATGAGATGATGAATGAACGTTGCGTTGTTTTTTGTTGTATGTATCCATCCACTTGGTAAAAAAAAACCAAAACACAATCCCTCACCCCGTAGTACCGTCTCGGTCGCTCATATTGTAAACCAAGAGCACCAATAAATATTTGGATTTTTCCTTTTTTTAGGCCTTTAATAATTGGAGTCTAGCTACTAACTAGAGGTCCATCATTGTTCTTAATTAGCCTCCACTAAACCCATAATACGAATATATGATTTCATAAAACATTAAACAACAAAAAATATATTTTAATTAATTTGTCAGTTAACTGGTGTGACACATTGTATGTACGTAGCAGTCATGTCAGAACGAATCGCTCAGTCGTAAGCGGAGAAAAATAAAATTTATACCATATTTTCCCGTTGGTTATCGGTTTCAAAATCTGGACAACTCGTTGGGGGTACACTGATTCACCTTCTGTTTGGTGCATAACCAATCTCCACAACTTTCGCTGATGAAGCAGTTCCGCTACTCCAAGGTCAGAGCAGCATTCTAGTGTTCCAGTTTCCACAACAATGGGCCCAACCTCAGGGATTCGCACGATGTTCCACCAAATCAACGCCCCCCGCTCTGGTCACAAGTCCACGCTATCAGGCTCGACAATTGATCTAATATGTTTCACTTACAGATTCATGAAAACAAAAGTCAAATCAAATCATAAGTTCGTATCGGTGCATCATATTGCGAGCTTACATCAAAGTTTCAATAATTTAAGGATTAAAACAATGAGCATGCGAACTTTATTATATCTAAAGATTTATTGAGACCTTAGCAGATACCAAAGATAAATCTTTATATAATTCTCGAACACACAAGTAATTTTATCAAATTCATGTGTGACAACAAAGATAATACAATTTGGATGAACGAAAATTTTCATTTTGATAATCTCACCCAAGACGAGATAGAAAGCCAAGAAATTAATCACCAACAATCATGACGAATTATGAATCCCAAAACAAATGCACCACTCATCAAATGTGCACTCATCACTAATAATCACATCTCCACATTGAAAGGACTCGAAAAGATCCCGAACGGGACAGTTAAATAATTAAATGTATATATTACTTTGTCGTTAGCTGAGAATTAACCATCAACTAATTACAGAATTTTAGTGGGATTCTATATCGAAATGATGTTAATTAGGTTTATCATAATGAGTGTCATGCCTGCTTGGAATTTTTAGTGATGTCATTGGTAAAAGTGATTGATCGTCGATATAATAGTCGAGGTGTCTGACATAGCAGACTTATTTGAGTAATTTCTGGATTGAATTAACTGTTATGTTTTGAATCGCTTACTTTCATGGTTGAGCTAATTAACTATTCTGATGATAAATTTCACTTGTAATAACATTGCCACCTAGGACTGTTAGTTGGTTCAGTTAAGTCATAACCGTTTAGTCTTTTATCTGTTAAATGTTAAGCAATCTATATCATCATTAATTGTACCGTTTATATATATCGGTTAACCATAAGCGTATAGTCGGTTATCAGTTTTATTTTTTTGGTTAACCAGATAACAGCTAATTGAGAAAGTGATTCGTGTTTAGGCCAAAATAACTGTTGAGAAATGTGAATAGTTTGAAAAAAAAACTAAAGGAAAGTCCTTGAAAAAAGGTAAGTGAAGTTAATTCAAATTAATTCTCCGTATTGAAGGAAACGTTTCTTCAATCAGAATTAATTGACCGAATTAACGGAAATTTTAATCAATTGAATTGATTTCTGGTATTAATTATCTGCATTAAAGAAAGGTCTAATAAGGAGTTATTACTCTTGATTTCCTTCCTTAAGAAGATTCTCAAATCCTCCACCAAGAGGGGAAGGCCGAAGGTCTCATCCAATATAAATAGATGAGTTGCCTAACCCTAAAAGAGAAGATAACGAGCATAAACACAATAGAGAGAGTGTTCAGAGAACTCGGGTTTTGTGTGCTACACTGTCTGAGATAGGGTTCAAGACTACGAGTCACCCTTAAGAAATCGGAAGTGTAACCACTACGCTAAGGTTCAAATCTTCGCGATACCTTAGCTTATGCCCGTCTTATGGAACTGTTTATGCTCAGAGATAGTTTTAAAACTATTCAAGTGGGGGATTGTTGAGAAATGTGAATAGTTTGAAAAAAAAACTAAAGGAAAGTCCTTGAAAAAAGGTAAGTGAAGTTAATTCAAATTAATTCTCCGTATTGAAGGAAACGTTTCTTCAATCAGAATTAATTGACCGAATTAACGGAAATTTTAATCAATTGGATTGATTTCTGGTATTAATTGTCTGCATTAAAAAAAGGTCTAATCAGGAGTTATTACTCTTGATTTCCTTCCTTAAGAAGATTCTCAAATCCTCCACCAAGAGGGGAAGGCTGAAGGTCTCATCCAATATAAATAGATGAGTTGCCTAACCCTAAAAGAGAAGACAACGAGCATAAACACAATAGAGAGAGTGTTCAGAGAACTCGGGTTTTCGCACAAAACCGCGAGTATTGAGAGGAGTTGTTTTATCCTGGAGACGACCGGTTGATAGTATGCCGTGCGCATCGAAAGCAGTGCCGCGAACGTCTTAAAGAGAGCGACCTAGTCCGTGACTCAGCTCCAGATTCGGTAACCCTAATTTTTCCTGTTCGGTTTCTAACAATAACCGATTGGAAACATAACCAACACAAGATCTCATCATTTTTCAATTGTACATTTTTGTTTATTTTTTACATACGTACGTGTTCTATTTTAACATTTTTATCATTAAATAGAAAATCATTTAATCTAGATATCAATCTATAATCAACTCAGTCCAATATAAGTAGAAATTAAACAAGCCTACCCCCTCTGTCACCAACACAAGAAGATGTATCAAAATTGCAAAACTAGTGTCAGGTACAGTTGCAATGGCTTGGTTGGTAGATAGGCTTTTGCCAGAAATTAAGAAAAAGATAAAGGAAGGATCACGATTAGCTTCTTTAGCCTTAAAACGATCACGTGAACCGCAGATTTGGTTCTCTAATTATTTGGATTTAACAAAGCAAAACGTAATTATCGAAGCAAAGCCTTCAAGGAACGGATTTTTGCCTTCTTCTTCTTCTTCGATCGCCACCTTTCATAATATAATAATAACAACAATTTGGTGACTGTATTTAGTAGATTCCTAGAGACAAGTGTGGATGTTCTTCTGTAGAGGACAATCATGAATGCCTCAGAATCCGTATGGCGCGTATAGATAACATTTGTTATAGATACACATGTGACATAGGCATGACTAAATTAGATCATTTATGTTTTGGTTAAGTTAAACCTTTACTAATACGTGGATAGCATATTAACCTGGTTGGAATTAATTGGAACATGACATTTTTATGCTTTCATTGTGATAATGCATACATTTTGACTGCGGTGCAGTTTTCCGGTACAAAATCAAACTAATATATATGCATATCGAATAAGCTGTTTG